GCAATTTTACAGAGCTGCAAAACAACTCTGGTGAAATCTTGTTTATGCCTGGAGACTCAAATGGATCGGAGGGACAGCAGAGAGAAGATGGGGGAGGAGAGGAAGCATTGAGCTCTGCTTTCCACAAAATAAGGCCTCTGGAAATAAGATGGTGCCAAAATCTCTGCATTTGTGCTTAAAAGGTCCTTTCTAGTTTAGGCAAGAAAGATCTTTGCCCCGACAAGCTTACAAGCTAATTGAAACCTTTGTGCATCTGCACAACACAACAAAATAGAAAGTGGAAATACTATAACATTGTTTGTGTCAAAATATGCACTTGGGTTGTACCAGCCACAAGAAAAGGGTGGATATTAATGCAGGATAAGGTGCCATGTGGCACATGGAAGCCAACCAAATGGCTCAGGGAGAGCAGCTCTGCAGGACAAGCCTGGGTAATTAGGCAGGAAAGAAATGATGCAGAAAGCTTAGAAAGTCAGGACTTGTGAGACATATGGGAAGAACAGCAAACTGAGTAGATTTAATTGTCTGCATTATGTGTTTGAAGTTGGAATAGCAGGTGAAAGGAATAAAGAAGATGTAGCCACCTGAGAGGCTTTGAAGATATCATCTGGAACTTAGAGGGAAGGTGAACTGTGAAGAAGTACTAAATTCAATTTAAGAAAAGCTAAGGATATCTATTTTGGAGGTAAGCGTGGCAGTGGAAAATTAAGGTAAGGGGGAAAAGGAACTTGAGGATGAGAAGTGTTTTACAGGGACAGAAGAAGGAACAGAGGAGTTGGGAAAAGGAGGAAATATGCCCTTTGAAGGTGGGAGAACACTAGGTCTAGTAAACTATGCAATATAATAAGCAAAGCAGTAGCAGAGGATGGAAGGCTACCATTTCTCTTAGTGACCTATATGAATCTATTTGCAGTATCCAGTCTCAAGAACATTATTTACATATTTGCTAATGGAAGTACAGGTAAAAAAATAATTTGGAAAGTTAGAGAATTTTACTAGTCAGCCCAACAGAGCAAAATGGTGAAAGTTTCAGTGATGTGTATCTGAGTATGGTCCCACACAAAAAAATAAAGTAACTTTTAAAGACTTTTGAGGGAGGAACAGTTCTCTGGCGCTCAAGACATTGTGTGCTTGTGTGCTTTGCACTGTATTCAGTGAATGAATGCATTCTTAAAATGTCTGCAGTTACAAACTTTATTTTCCACAGCACATGCCGTCATGCCTCTGGCACTCTGTTTATCACCTCCTCACTGTGGCTGCTCTGTCCCATCCACCACAAGTGCCCTTCACCACCACCCTCTGAATTCCTCTCGGGTTCATTTTGTTCTTTGCTTCAGTTCTTTGCATTTTTCTACTTTCATGTTACATTTTTGCTGCTGCTGATGTTGAGAGGCGCCAAAGCTATCTGCTAAGTCACTTGCTTCTCTCCATAGCTCCTGATTCCCACAGGCACTGCTGAAAGTTTCCCTCCTTGCTTTGGGAAGGGCTTTCTTCTGCAGGTGATCTGGCACCCACAGCATTAGTTTGCTCTTTTCTTTCTGTTGCAGTTCAGTCTCTATTTCCTTAAGTGAATCACAGATACCTATGGGTACTTAGGTTTTTCTGGCAGCAAACAAAAAATAGATATAACTCCCACCTGCTGAGACTGAGATTTTCTCTGAGAAGTGGTAAAGTCATCTCAGTGGTTTTTAAATTTTGGAAGACTTGACACCTGTTTGGGGTGGCGGCAAGGGAAGATGGAGAAGAAAGATTTGTACATTATGATCCTGGAGAATGTCTTCTCTGAGTGTTCCTTTTTTTCCCATTTACCTTTGAGAAAACACGCTTTCCATCAATAGAGCCTTTTCCCTCCAATTTTTATGAGGGACAGAGATCAGGAGTGAGAAGTACCTGAGTTAGAGCATCTTTCTTCCACTAGCTTCATCATCATCATCATCAAAGGCCCTATTATGCATTGGCCACTTCAGCATTCTAGGGGATTGGAGGGAATTATGCACCATTACAGTCCAGCACCAGATACAAATTATTTAAAAGAGGCTGCCCTGCTAGGACATCATGTAGTATGCAGCCTCTTTCATTGAACACACTGTGACAGCCTGGTGGGCACTTCCACTGACTTAATGCAGCAAACCCATTGCTAAAATGCAGAGGGGTTTTGATGTGGTATAATCAGTAATATAGCATTATATATAAAAAAATCAGTTCTCTGATAATATATTTGAATGTCCCAGTTCATAGCTGCATGTTTGTTAACTTTTTAAAAAGTGTTTTATGTTATGTCCTTTTAAAAAAGATAGATGTGTCATGAAAAAATACAAAATATTGACTTTGAGACTCAGTTTATTTGCAGTTAATGATATTGTGAAGTTTTCTGGTGTTTTAAGATCTATTATTTCTGCTGCTGCTTATTCTGAGGTCTTTTGTTTCAGCATGCTTAAATATTTGATTTAACAGAAACAGTAATACAGATTAAACTTTTCCTTTTGATAGTACATATCAGACATTGTTTATGAGACACAATTTTAAAACCTTCCAAATACAATCTTTGGAATTAAAAATATCTTTTACTTTTGTTACTTTTTTTTTTTTTTTTTAAGGAAAGCCTCTTTCAAAGGAATATTGTAATTTCACTCATTGTTCTGGAAAATTAGGGATGAAATCCTGGCATCACTGAATCAAGTTATTCATTGATGTCAGGTGGGCTGGAATATTCTCTCTAGTTTAAAAACTAATGTTACCTGGTTTCATGAACTCACTGCATTAAAAATCCACTACTGCATTTATGCTCAAATATTCTTACTTCTGAATTACGAGAATCTGAACAAAGGTAATTATTTGCTTCACATCCCATGGCAGCAGAATAACTGAGGTCATTTATTTTCACAGAGGAAAGCTGAGCCCACTGATACTCAGGAAACCATTCTGAGAAAATCAATATCAGTACAGATGCAGGTGAGTGTTCTCACAGGTTTCACTCATGTAGGAATGCTCATTCCCCTCTTCTTTGCTGGCAAGAAAGTAATTTTAGAGTAAAGAGATCTCCTGGTTCTGCAGCCCTGGGCTTCTTCACAGAGCAGTCATGGTAGATGTGAGATTTAAGGTCACTACTTTATTTCACACCTATTTCTGGCTCCAGACACAAACCTTCCCCCCCAGTCCTGTCCTCTGCTTAGAGACACAGTGGGTCCTCATTTCTTCCTGCAGGTCTGTCTTTGTGACAGCTTTCTTTCTGTCATCACCTCTGAAATACAACCAGCAAGCACCATTCAACACAAATCAAACACTCTGTGTCTGAATTGGAGCAGAAGCCTTTATGGGAAGGGATATTGGAGTGTTGTTCTTGGAGCTTTAAGCAATCTGCACCCCTTTTCTGTGGTGTAGATGGCCAAAAAGGAGTGCAAGTGCTTCTGTGAATTTGCTTTGCTTGAAAATGCTAAATGTATGTGCTGTGCATTTGTTGCTTCAAGGTTCCCTAAGGTGCCAAACCCGGGTGGGAGCTCACATGGTCAAGCTGAAAATGGTGCAGTCACTAGGCAGCTGCACAAGGCAAGATCTTATTTCTGACCCCTCAGTTTCTGTTTCTTGCCAAAGGTAAGAACAGACAGACAAAAAACCTCTTAAGATGGGGAGATCTGTCTTTAAATTTATTTTCTAATTCACTGCTAAAACTTACAGCACCTAGTACATTTTGCTGCTAATGCAGCCTTCTGTGAATGAAGATACCAACACCCAGAAGCTGTTTCTCAAGTCTCAAAACCAATTATTCTAAAACCAAAGCCTTTAGTGTGTTTGTTTGACTAAAGCTAAATGAAATTCAGATTTCTTTTGAAAAGAATGGTCTGCTAATTGGTGTTGACTTTTAAATGTTTGAGCTTGTTTATTTCTCTCACTCCCTTGAATGATGTTTCTGAAACATTCCCGTTCATTATTACAGTCTATTAAATCAGACTTATCAAAAAGGAAACATTTATTGATATCTTGAGAGACGTGAACATCTAATTAAGGTTGTGTTGCTGTGCATATTTTATATTAAACGTTTCCTGCAATTTGACTTTAATCAGGTCTGAAGGGCCTTAATAAGTGTTTGGCTCAATCACTTGCATTTTGCTTCTTTCCCTGGACCAAGGGAGGAGATTGTGTATCAGTTTGCAAAGGCACATAATTTACCATCAGGTAAGGAAATTCTGCCACACACTGTAATATCTATTTCATACATTTGTTCCTGGAAATGTTGGCAGCTGGTACTAAATGCACATCCTTGATGGAGCTGGTAAATCCAAAAGATTCCTGGAGTACTTGTAGAGTTTACATTTTGATGTGAGATTAGACAGCTGCTTTGCATATTTTGTGGCTATTTCACCCTGTTTTACTTGGAACTATGATTAATAGAAGAAAGGAAAAATCCTTTTAGGTTTCTGAATTCCTGGTTTCCAATTTACAAGGTTGGTTTTCTTTGTCTTGTACGGTTGTGCAAGGTCCCTCTTTGTGCATGTACTGTTATCCTCTGCTGTTTCCTTAACTACCTTTCTTGTTTCATGTGCAGCTACCAGTGTTAGAGGGAAATTCACTGCCAAGATGTAGCCATTAAAACACCTGTCTCAGGCACAGGTTCTCTTTTTCTTGGGCTATCCCTCATCTCTATTCTTAACTTCATCCTTTATTAAATAGGGTCTTCTGGTGCTATCATTTAAATGATATGGTATGTAATCTGCACAGGTTAAATAAGTTATCTTTTAAAAGATAATTAAAAATATTATCAGAGAATAGTTTTCCTTGTTTTCTCTGTGCAATACTGTCAGTTTTGAGTGAAATGTCATGTACTATGCCTATATCCAGGTTTTTGGAGGAGTCATTCATAATGCAAGAATAAGCTATCTATCTGTCAAATATATATTATATATTATATATTATATATTATATATTATATATTATATATTATATATTATATATTATATATTATATATTATATATTATATATTATATCTATAACATATCTGTCATAAAGTTGTGTAATAGATTGTTATCTTAATTCTGCTGGCAGAGGGATGTTGTAATGCAGAACTCTTTTACACAGTATATTTAAAAATATAGATACAGGCATATTCTACATGTGTATTAGTATACTGAGTGTATTAGTATACTGAGACTCACACTTACAGAAATAGATATATATTTGTGTGGGGAGTCCCAAATTTTCTTTCATCAGACTTTTCTAAATTTCAGCAATCTTTTTGTTGCTACTCTAATTAATATACTATGTAATAACTTCCAATTAAAGTTGTGATCTGCCTGTAATAGATGGTTTACTTATAACAGGGAGAGATTACTTTGCCAGTGATATCATGGCCCACATATATGTAGCAGATAAGGAGAGGAAGAGAGGAAAAATAGTTATTCCCCACTAAAGGGGCACTTACTGGTAGAACTGTCCCGTGGTCTGATCTAACTCCTGGGAATTCCGCGTGCACAGAAATTGAGCAGTGCCTGGGAGTGCATACCAGTGGCAGTGCTGCTCAGAAGAGCCTTGGGACAGTTTTCCCCCATGGCTAAGTAACATTTCCCAAAGACTTGCCAGGCACTGTTTGATAAGCTGCCACGCTGTGCTGTGTGAAATATCAACAGTGTAAACATGGCCAGCCCAGGGTGAGCAACACTATGGTCACAGCTTCTGATTATTAAACTTTTTAGATAAGAGGCAGAAAAAAAACTGTATCAAAAGCTGACATTAAATTCAAATTTCTTTTGTCTCATTTCAGTGCCTTTCTAGATCATTACCCTTATTCAGATGACATTATTCTTAAAAATCACTCTAAAGTGACTAAGGCAGTGTTTAAAGAACAAAACAAGCCCTTTTATCTTCCTCAGACAAATATCACAAAATGTTAATTGATTAGTTTCCAGCTTTGACAAGTTTGGTTTTTTTTTTTTTTTTTGTCAAATAAAAAGCTAAAGATAGCTGATTCAATAATAAACTTCTAGAATGCTCCCAAAGTAGATCATGTCATTAATACTCAACTCATGAGCATTTATATTTGCAAACTTGATAACAAATTCAGTCCACTCAGTTTAGGAACACTAAATGAACTTTAGGAAGAAATTATGCTTGAGGGTTCTGTAAACTTCTTTAATTTATTTAATTCCTGATATTCAATAGTTTTTAAAAGAAAAATTCTCACACTTTGACAAAGAAATCCTTGACAAACAAATTAGCAATGGTTCTTGCTTAAAAAATGTCAGGAATGGAAGGGAGGCAAATTATTGTGTTCTGAAACTAAGTATTTATTTTTGGAATAACAGTATAGGCTCCTGAGTTTACTCTGCTATTCTTCAAATAAGTCTGCAACCTTTGCCTGTATCATCTTTTGCCTTTCAAATAATCCCTCTGTATCTGTAAAGTGTGAAGATTATGCTGGCAAAAAATGGGTAAGAAAGCAGCTGTCAAACAGCTCTTCTGCCCTTCCCCCTTTGCATGGAGAAATTCAAACAGGAGAAAGCAGGATAAGAACAATACTGTGCTTGAAGAATAAAACTCTCCCAAACCCACTTTCCTCCTTCCTAGGTCAGCACTTGCTGACATTGGAACCCATTTGCCTGAAGAACAACCACAAGCCTCTTGATGATTTGTGAGGAAATCTGGAGTTGATTTGTGTAAGAGGAAGGAATGATGCTCTGTTTTATTCTACCAGCATCTCACAGCCTTTCTGATGTGCCACTTAAACCCTACAGGAGTTCTGTGCCCAAGGTAGTACATCTTTGTGTCTAGAGGTGGGCTCAGGTTCCCTCATCAATTAATTAATGAAGGTTAAGTGTCTGAAAGATATTTCTGGAAACTAGATTGGCTGGGGAGTCCTAATAGAACTCTGCTTATGAATCTGAACTATGAATTTCAACGTTGCTTCTGTATATGAGAAGAAAAAGGCATGCATCACCCATAACTTGAGAAAATTTGCAGACCTGTTTTGTTGGGGTTTTTGGTAGACCTGTCATTTGAGAAACTTCTCTAAGGATAAATGTTAGACCTCTAAGCACTTTGGTAATTGTGGCTTCAGCACTCATACCTTTCTGTCTGCTCCGACCTCTAGGTCTATCTCTCAGCAGAATTTGAGGCATCTGTCAGTACAGAGAGAGAATTTTTGTGTTCTACACCTAATTCAGTTGTTTAGGCACCAAAGACAAATACTGTAATCCTGTTCATCAAATTCACACAAAAAAAATAGTTTTTCAGATTTCCTTTCAGTTCAGTACCACCTGTGGGGATACACCTCCCTTCTGTGAGATGACTCTGTCACACCAGCATGGAGACAGACTTCTCATAGCTTAGGCGGGTGGCAGACTCCATTTAGAATGCTGTGATTCAGCTGTAGGAAATTTCTTTCTGGGAAGGAAAAAAAAAAAGGGAAATTTATGCAGGATGTCATTTGGAAAGATCTCAGCCTCAAGATTAGGTGGACTCATGAAAATACTTTCTTAAACACACATGGCTGCACCCCACTGCCTTCAGATAAAATGTGACAATGCTTCAGAATCAGCTTCAAGAAAAAGGAATATTGCACATTTTTGGTGCTCACCACAAAAATTGAGTATTGAAAGAACTTACCTGCTATTTCCAGGGGTGTGTGTTGTGTGTTTTTAAATTCTTTTTTTAATCCTTACATATTTTGTGATTTCTGAATTTAAAATTCAGAGGAAAAATAGTAAAAAAATTCAGAGATAAACACATAAAAAGGAGTTTCTATTGTTGGAAATCTTAACCTGTTTGGTAATCCTGATAGTGATATCATTTGAGTCCTTATAATCAGTTCCATTAATTTTTCTTTTTTTCCTCTTTTTTTTAAGGAATTAGGATTTTGCATTGGTACCCAAAGTTTGGATTTGTTGCAGGACTCTGATCAAGAAAGTGAGGAATGGCTGAAGCAAAACCTCCATAGGCAGAAGATCACTAGGTAGGCCCATGGTCTTGCCTTTAAGAATGCGCTGGAAGCATTGGTGTTGTATTTTCACAAGTGAATTTGTGCGTTTCCATCGTCTGGAAGCAGCGATTGTTCTAATAGGTTAGAAATCTGTGGATGCAGACTGGTTTCAGTGGGAGAAGCAAAGCAGTCAGCATAGGTAACTGGCTGATGTCCTATATTCTGTTTAAGGACTGTGAGCTAGCTAGTGCACAGGGCACAGGTCTCCTTGGTCTGGGCTTCCTGGCTCCTCACATGGTGCCCTTTCCTTTCCACATGAACCTCTGGGCCTGGACAAGGCAGCTTGTCCTCACCACCAGCACGCTGGCTGGAGGTGCAGCTGACAGGCACATGATGCCCAGCTCAGGCTTATGATCTTTGTATGTTCCTAAATTTTCCTGTGCCACTTCCTTTTGGGAAAAGTAGAGATAATTGCTTTCCTCATCGTTAACATGGCACTCCTGGGCACTACAGCCTCTTTGGCTTTGGGGATTTTTATTTTTTTTGCGTACGTGTGGTATTACTTGGTATTAGAAATGAAAGCCTTTTACAGGACTCTGATGTGCCTGCTCCCTGACTTAGGTCCATAGTTCATCCACATTTCTCATCCCAAAAATGGGACCTTAGCTGGTGTGCTATATTTTATATCTCCTCTCTTTGGGAATGTTAGCAGCTTAAAGGGAACCCCCAAAACTCCTTGCTCAAGCCAAGAACTCTCTGAAATATTTTTCTTACAGTCCTCCATATAACTTTTTGCTTATGCCTGCCTCTACCTCTTTTTTTTCTTTAGTTTATTCAAGTATGTCACCTCCCTGATGCTCTTTTCTTCCAACATTTACCAGCTTGATGAATTTTTTTCCGCTTGCCCATTAGTCCACTGCGTGCTGTACATGTGTACATAGAAGGAAGTCCTGCTTCCCTTTCCTGCGAGTCCACCCCCAGAGGAAAAGAGGCACATCATTACACAGGTGGGCAAATCTGTAATCTCACCAGCTGACAGACAAAACTGAGAATTTTTTTTAATATATTTTTTTTAATTCACAATCAAGGAGATGAAGTACTTCAGCAATATCTAATATGGTATCTGTGGTTGCAATTGGCTATGTAGACTTATAGAAAAAAAAAGGTAAGAGGGGAAGATTTATGCTAAAGGGTAACAGCTTAAACAAAAATGATGCAATTCCGATTGTTAAATACTAATTTTTTATTGAGTCGTATACAGCTTTACTGTTTTGGGATCTGCTAAACAAATTTCTTTCACTTAACCCTTGTGTAACACAGGCAAAGTAACAGAAAATAGCAAAAGCAGTGTTTTAAGATCAACACCAAGTAGTTCAGAACAAATGAAATATAGATGGCTTTATTGGATTTAATTACATAGAAAACTGAATACCTAGAACAAGAAGTACGATAAAAAGATAAACATATTTATTATGACAATGTTTTATGAACTTCAGATATGCAGATTGTTAATATGAAAAACAGAGTCTAGACATAGAAATTCTATTCCACTTGAAGAGCTACTATTTTGCAATTGCTTCAGTACATTTTTTAATGATAGCACAAAAGCATATTTTAAAATCCCTTGTTCTGCTCCCTGAATGCAGAATTTACTGTCTCACTTGTGCAAGCTGCAGCCCTGTCTGGCACAGCTATGTGTGTACTGGAGAATAAAAAGGGGTGGAAGGAAGGCAGAATAATCATTTTGACAATGTAAATGTAAAATAATTAATATGCCCACTATTTCACTAGTAATATTTTAATGCCATTTACTTTTTCATCTATAGAAAAAATGTTCCTTAAGTTACAGTTTTGAACTAACCATTCTGAAAATAAATTAATAATCTAGTATATCTGGCTATAATCTCCATATGTTCTGTTTAATAAAAAAAAGTTCAATTTTCATAAAAATCCCATCTCCTAAAAACTAAGTCTCCTGAATAAGTGTAGTGAACTCAATAAGATCATGGCAAAACCAGTGTCATTTAATTAAGTGACTTGGAAGTCTAATTAAAGTATATTTAACTGCATCTTGTATCACACTAAAAAATATCGTGTTTATTACGACTGGTGTTAAAGGAAACTTGTACAGAACTGAAGCTTGGTCTTTTATTACTGAAAACACAAATCCAGTTAAGACTTCAGACAAGCTCTCATTAACATGTTTTATTTCAATTTTATTCAGAGCTGAAACAAGAGCTTCATTTACAGCTGAGGAAAGCAAAGATGAAACTTTGTTCTTTCTTTTGTGCTCAGCCATACAATTTATTTTTCTCCTGGCAATGGATTTTAAATCTCTTTCCTTTTTTTTTTTTTAATGGGAACTGTTTTAGTAAGCACTGACATTAGAGCTGACAATGCTTTGTGTGGTTTTCTTTCCTTTTGCCTGGATTCTGTGTCTGTGTGTGCAGGCATGCATTCATTAACGTAATTCCTCAACATTCAACAAGAGTGCATCATAAACCAGAGGAAAAAAGCCTCATAAATATTTAGATCCTCCACCTACCTTCCAAAACTAAAGAGAAAAAGAGTATTTAGTGTGGACTTGCTTTGAGTTAATCTGCATATGAACTGAAAGGGGGTACAAAAGGATGAAAAGGTGGTGGAAACGAGCATACAAACCCCATAGTCTCCAGGGGGCCATTCATCTTGTTCTTGTCAATACAATCTCAAACTCAGTGCTTGGCTGTGCTCTGCGCATGACCCAGACTGCCTTTGCAAAGGATGTGCCAGCTTTAGCCTCCTTTGCTTCCAGCGGGTCATTTTGCCAGAGGAGAAGAAAAATACTTCACATTTAGGAAGCTGGAGAAATTTCTCTACCTGCTTGTGGCCCACACACTGACATACAAGCTTAGATCATTTACATAAAATGACAAGTAGGTCATATGAAAAGCAATTTTAGGTAATTTGACAATTAATGAGAGGTAATGACATCATGATGTTGCTTAAAGCATGCTAGAAACCCATACAACTTGGAGCAATATATTTACATATAAACCTCCACTATTTTTAACAAACACCACTGTCAAAAATTACAGATGAAACACCAGACCACCAATAATAAAATTCAGGACTTAGTGAGCACTCACAATTGAACAGTCACAGAATAGTTTGGGATTCTGTAAATTGTTTTTATATATTTTAATTTTTAAAAATGAGGGAATGTATAATACATTTTTTTTTATCATCTGATATAATTTTTTGAGTGATTACATCATACCACCTCAGTACAAGGACTTCTGATCTACAACTGCTGATTTTAGGTGTTCTTTTCAGCCAAAAGGGCATAAAGACCACTAAAGTCTGTTATCAGACAGAATTAATGATTTCATAAAAAAAAAAAAAATCTTGATCACAAATAGCCAAACCAATTTTTTTTGCCTTTTTTTTTTTTTGGTGAGGACAAGCTTATAATGAAATAGATGTAACTTACTGAACTAATCAAACTTTGCTTCAGTCAGATGAATTGAATTACTGCAAAGTTATATAAATACTACATGCAAAGTGGTCATTTCAGTCACATAATCACATAATTCAGTATCTTACTACACTGCTAATCTTCTATTATGGACTTGTGAGAACAGAAAAGTCCAAGCACACTGTTTTCAAATTAATCTCTATTTCAGTCTCCTCTTTAAAAGAACTCAACCAAAGCGGGGTTTTTTGGTTGGTTGGTTTTTGGTTTTTGTTACCAGACGTCCTCAAGACGCTGCCAGTGACCACACCAATGTGACATCAGGTACAGCAGGAGCACGCAAGCTGCTCTGCTGCCCAGCTCATCACCTGGTGCCACTCTGACATGCAGGACTCCATCCACACAGACAAATCCCCAATGAAGCACCAGGATGTATCTGCAGCCAGAGGGATAATTGATTTTGCTATGAACCTGTAAGACAGGTGCATACAAGCTTCAAAATGGGACAAAAGATCAATTATGCCTCTAGTAATGAAAATCAGATGGATAACTATAAATAGACTACCTGGAAGGAAAACCAAGGTAGGGATGTATATTTTAATTGACTCGCTAAAGGGAAGACAACCTTCTGGCCTGAAAATTGGCCATCTAATTGGCTAGGTCATGACTTCTTAAAACCAAGCAGAAAAATTCTAGAGATGGGGAAATGCTTTAGGTCAAACAGTGCCTTCCTTCCACCTCCACCAAAGAACTGACATGCCTCCCAAATAACAGGAACTTTACAGATCTTTCTCTAGTGGGAAGAAGGAAGGCTGGATAAGTTGGATGCCTGTTAATGCCTGTTTTCATGTTGACCTTCTTTAATCAGAACATTACACCAAAAATTAATGTTACCTTTTTTCCCTGTATAGCTCCTGCCACAACCTGTTTTCTAAGCATGCTGTCAGACCAAGTTTTTATTTGTTAATACATATACAAACAGTGTTGTTATGAAAATAAACAGCACAGTATACTCTCTGGGAAACTGATTTTTGCCTGCTCTACTGACAGGGTAAGTGTTTTTAGTCCTATCAGGATTTGAGATGGGCAGGGTACGCACATGCTAAAACCAGAGAGAGTTGTCATACCTGTCCTGTCAAAAAAAAAAAAAAATCCCCGCAATCCAAGCGCAACCACCTTTCTTTAACAATGTGACAAATTCTTACATACCTAAAAGGTGAAGAACTGTCCATAAACTTTCATATACTCATTTTTAAACAAATACAATATCAGAAGAGATAATGTTAACGTTTCAGGGATCACCCTTATTTATGAATTGCACAGTAGCTTCCATAATAAAAAGGCGCCTATTAGAGAAGAGTCCTTAAAAGTTTCTACAAATTATAACAAAAAATTTTAAATATTGGAAACTTCTCATGTTTTAAATAAATAGGAATATCTAGACTCACATGAATGGATCTTTACAGAAGTAGTTTTAATCTACAAGAAAGGCATTTTATTTCCCTTCCCTCTATTTCAGTCATAATCTGAGACCAAACACAAAACATTTTACACTAAGAACAGTAAAAAAAAAAATAAATTAAGAATTTGAGAATGGGCAGCAGTGTAAAGTGGGATTTCCTGACACTGCAAATTTAGCTGCAGTGATTTTTGCATGTATTTGTCTCTACACCACAGAGAACTTTTCAGCTTATTCCCCTGTGCCTCTACTCTGTGGTCTGGCCAACACAATGGCTAGGTGAATTTAAAATATTAACACACTTCTGAAAGTCAAAGCTAGGGAATGACTGCATTACGTTCAACAGAGTCATTTTGTTCTTGTCAGAATTCTGAACCCAAGTTGTTGTTCAAACTATGCCAAGAACAGAAGTGGTTAACAGAAAATGTTTCTGTGTGTTTACAGTGAGATGCAGCTGATGGCTCAACAGTTTGCAATGGCCACTCCAGACATCCAAAAGGAGCAGAACACATCTGCACAGAGCAGGGAAATGCCTTGCAAAAACTATGAGACTAAAGTGAACTCCTGGAGATTCAAGTGGGATACCAAAAGGCAAGTGAATCCTATCCTTTCTTGTGCTTATGAACTTGTAACAGTGACTTACTAGGATCAAGCAATGAATTTGCTCTAAACAATAATTAGATTTAGCATTGGCTATATAGGATGATACCATCTTGTATAAAGTGACTGCAGCTCAAATCGAGCCAGACCTCCTAGATAAGCAAACAACCCAGCAATGTCCACCTTTTGGCTCTGAGCCCAAGAGTCATGTTTTACTGATTGTTATGATTTGGCCTTTGAGCTCTAGTGACAGTCAAACAGGGACTTACAATGCACCAGCCTTCAAATTCCAACAAAGACAGCATGAGATCTGGGATGCTTCCTGATTCTATACGGAAATTCTGAATTTATCTGAGTGCTTAAGCAATAATTCCCTGCAATTTTATAATGTCTTTCATCCAAGCAACTTGAAGTATTTGCCTACAAAGTGTTTCATAGCTTCTGAAGAGTAGGAAACACTGAAATGGGTTCCAGGGCACATGACAATTCAAATATATGTGGCTACTATATTCCAGGAAAAATCTCCCACACTCAACAGAAAGACTGTGGGTAGGAGGAACAAATGAGAGACAATGACTCATCCACAATCAAAACAGAGTTTAGGTTTCCTAAAGTGAAAAAGGACCATTAGAAAATATCAAGAAATTGAACACAGTCGTTTCCTTTTGGAGAAAAGGCACAAATAGCAATGGACAGATGAAAAAAGAGCCTCTGAGAATACCACAGCATGGAAGCACAATGGTCTTTGTGTGGGTAATCAACAACCACTGTAGCACTGCTCTGTCCTCTGCTAGGGATGAACACTGTTGAGCAACTCTGTCTCATCTCCAGAAGCCTTCAACACTCGTACCACCTAGTCCCCGTCTCTTCTCACAGCTTTGGAGCGCCACATATTTCTCTTCACCATTAAAACAAGGATTTACATTTAATAAAGACTTGGAAAATATAGTGTTTTCAGCAGGTAGAAAAAGAAGACTTCTAGTAAAAAAGAAAAAACAAACTCTGGCCTTTTCAGACTGATTAATTGCATTTTCTTAGAAGGCCAAGCAATACAAATGTTGCTTGCTCATTAACACAGTTTTAAAAAAGGCTGAAGTTTTCTTATAATTTGTTCAGATGTTTTCTGTCCAGTTAAATATATGCTCCTTTTGTAAGAAGTGCTGCTCTGTAAGTACTGAACATTAAGAACCATATGCAACACATCACTAGCAATCCCACAGTGTTAAGTCAATATACATATGCATTCACATTTCACACATTAAAAAGAAAAGTTAAATTAATGCTTCAGCTGCATTTTAAATTCTGTTTTAGTAGTAATTGAGAAGAATGGCTTATTTAAATCTATTTACAAAGTTAAGACTGAAAACATTCATATTTCACAGTAACCAATACACTCTGGTACTTTACCAAAACACGGTGTACCTGAAAAACAAAACTTACCTGCTTCTTTAGTTGTCAGCTCTTTGCCACTGTGGTGGCCAACATAATCTGCAAATTTCCCAGATATGAACTATTTATTTTTATTATTTTAATCCTACTGTTTAATTGGAAACACTTCTCACTACGGTGAAAAGTAAAAATACTGGTTATGTATCTTACAGACAAGTATGTCTTTCCAACACTGTATTTTTAGCTGTAGGTAGCAAATTTTAAAAAGCTGCTGAGGGCCCTACTGTAATTAAGATGACTGCATCAATTAAAATGCCGAATGTTATCCTGGACAGTTTTAAACTTAGGCACGTAGTCCCAAACAAAGAAGGTAAAAAACCCCAAATATGTCTGAAATAATGGTCTTAATATTCCAAATTTCCAGATATAATACTGTGATTTTTTAAACTTGAATGTGCATTAGCTGGACTTCCATGGCAGGTATTATATTTAGCAACGGTCAGTTAGTTCAGTGCCCCATAAATCTGGGCAGCATTTACAGTAATGCACACTCACTGCTACTCCCACTTGGCAATGTGGGGCATGGGCTGGCTACCAAAAGGGACAGGCCAGAAGCCACTTGAAATTCCCCCCTATGTCAGCACAGAGCTACACAGCTAAGGTAATAATTTTGTGACAGAAATGGAAAGGTGTCATATCCTAGCACCCTAACTGAAGCCATAGGGCTAGAAAGACTGGGAAAACACTGCGTGGTGTGTTTCAAGAAATTAGTTGGCTTCTTTTATTGACCTAGGAGGAGCATCAGTTATTGATAATCCACATGTAAAATGCACTAAAACAATGCAAGTGTTTATAAGTGATAAGGTGTAGGAATGTTATGAGTTTAGAGGCAAAACATACCTTCAAAATACAAGATTCAAATATGTTCTGTAAATAGTGTTGCTGCCCTCCCTGTCTTTTAAGTGCTGCTATGAAGATGATAAAGTGGGTAAATTTTATAGTTACAATGCAGTACCTCAATTTAGTTTTCTCTCTGGAACTGGTAGCATTTTTTTCTTTTCTATGCCTTGTCAGATTGCTTTTCCTTTCCTCCTTCTAACCATTTTCAACCTTTCTCAACAATGCTGTAATAAAACAGACATACCTGAGACCTCATTTTCATCTCCTACGGGACAGTGAGAAATGAAACCCATCTAAACTTTGTTTTTAATGCACAGAAATTTCTCAAGAGCACAGCAGAAGCACCACCCTCTCTAGACAGACACACCTTTCTTCTTACTAGAAGGCTCTCTTTTCTAGAAAAATGTCTGCCTAGCACTTAAAGAAACTGCATGTACAGCCATGGAAACCCATGGAATTTATCTATTCAAAAGTGCAATCGCATAAGCAGTAATTCTATGATAATCTTGAACACAGCTGTAATACACTCTAGTATACACTGATTTACATCTTTCCCGTGCTTAACTCTCTGGCAGGTAGACAAGGTGAAACCCAATACAGAGGTACCCCTGCCCTCCCTAACTACTGAGAGTTACACAAAATGCTTAGTATTTTATCAAGCAGAATTTAGTCCCCTCTGTCCTATCCACGTAACAGTGTCCTGTAACAGTGACTTTAGGTATATGAAACACACACCTTATCAAGAAAGCTGACAGGTACAAGATTTAGGTCAAAAGAGGAAAAAAACTTTTGTTTCACTTAGTGTTGTCTTTTCTCCCCAGATTAATGACTGCATAATTAATACACAACCACAGGAACAAAGAGAATGTAGCTCTTCCTACTCTTGTTTAAGAGGATGAATCACAAAGGTATCTCTTCTGGCTCCTTTATTCCAGACTGAGGAAGAGCCAGTTCTACCAGGGGTTGATATTATGGTTTACACCCTTCTTCACAGTTGTTGTACAGCTCAAAGTAGCTTTTAAAGTATAAGAGATACAAATCTGAATCCTTCCAGACTAGAGGTGTGCTTAAAACCTTCATCTTTCAGCTCTTCAGCAATCACATAACAACCCTACTGAACAATTACAGGCATTATCTCTTCCAGGATTACACAGAATGCTTGGACATGTCCCTTTTGAACACTACATCATCTGCTTACTTCTTTGAATGACACACTACTATAGTTTCTGCTTGAAAAGTTGAAAAGTCAGTTTGCTAAAATGTCAAGGAAAATATGTTTTTATTGTCAAACAAAACAAAGAATCTTCACGTAATTGGTCCTTGAGATTTTTAGTTTGGCTCTAGACCATACTCTGTTAAGGCATTTATCACTTTGCAGAGATAAATGTATTTCAGATGTACATCTGTTTTTGGGCATGTTTGATTACAGTACTATACTCTTTGTACACCATGAATGATTCTGTACTGAATCACACACACAATATATTTTTTTTCAAGAGACTGTAATGGGTGAGTGAAGAATTGCTTCTTTCCCTAAAGAAGAGCAGTACAGCATATTAATACCTTCCTGTTACAGACAGCATCACAGAAGGCAGATGACATCCAGCAGCCTATGCTTATGATTTGGCCAACAGAGACACTGGAAGTAACAGCCAACACTTTTAAAAGAGCATGCTTCCCAGTAGTCATTAGCCTTTGCCTCTATTTCCAAAGGTATTATCAGCTATGAACATTATAGCAGTAATTGAATTTGCTTTTTATGATCATTGCAGGCCTTTACTGTAATACACAGAGGCTGCTGCTGGCATTATCATAATTCTTCTAACTTTGAGATTAGATTAATGCAATAAAACTTCACCTTAAAAGAGAAACTTGGAGAGTAGTACAGGTTACATGATACAAGAAGGGCCACCTAGATGAAAACACAGCTGAAGATAGGCATTTCTGCTTGCATCTAGATAGAAGTTGAGACAGTGGGTAGTTACCAAGAGAACCTTACAAGACCACAAGACCTGGTTATCTTGAACAGACTAAGCAACCTCTGCCTCCCTGCCCCCTCCCCGATATCAACACCACACAACCTCTCCCCCATATCCACAGAACCTGTTGACCCAGGCCTGTACCTTGTCCTCCCCCCAGCCTTCCTTCCCCATGGGAAAGCTGTAAAATTAAGAGTGCAAAAGGATTTCTACTGTTTTAATAGATCAGGCTGTAGTCATGCCAGTCTTGATGGGAGCTATTCCTTCTCACAGCTCTTTAACCTGAATTAATTAAACTTTATTCTCCCAGGAATTCTTAAAACACCCTTTTATACAATGTGGGAGTGTGGGAATGTGAAGAGCAGAACATAAGGTATGCTGAGAGGGGCTTTCAGGTAATGTTTTTGGTTTTTGCTGTATACTTGCTAAGAAAGGCAAATCAACCTGGTATCTATCTGAAACCAATGATGAGCTTTTTTGCATTTTACTAAAACATTCCACTTTTCCAAGGGCTTTTTTATAAAGACTTAAATTCAGAGTTTTGAAGTATTTATGGAAAAAATCAAGGATGAGAACTTTTCCTGTCATTTATGCCTAATTAAAAGGGCAGCTTCATCACATAGCTTTGCATCAATTTCTGTTCTGTTTCTGACTGAGAAAATAATTCAGCTTAACAACCGAGCAAACTAGAGCTTGAATTTTGCATTGCACTGGCATGAATGATTCCACAAGTGTTGGTGTGCACCATCTCAGTTTTCATTAAATAAGCACAAAATACCTTAGGACAAACGATATTGTTCCCATTAGTAGATTACTGGTGTTAGTACACAACAAATTGTGCTGGTATTTCTTACCTTATATTGTCTGCTTACATTTGAGCACTGCAAACTCTTTATGTGCAGGAAGCAATAATCAAGTGGTATAGGAACAGCTGCACCAAATCTGCTGAAAAGTCTCCATATGCTATTTTTAGTGTGAGAATCATCAGTCCAGAACAATTATTCCAACATCATCTACATTCACCTAATTTTAAGAGGAAAGCTTGCTGTTCAGCAGATGCCCTTAATCAAATGGGAGGATTTGACAGCGTGGTTTCTCAGGGTTAACAAGAGCCTTCACTCACCAGCTAAAAATTAGCAAGCAAAGGGCTACAAAAATGCATCATTGTCCAGACTGGTCTACAAGAAACCAAACGATGGCAATTTTGTTAAGCATGTAAAGTTGTATTTTAGCTTGTCACAATCTTAAGACAAGGTTAGAAGAGAGCAAACAATCATGTTACTAAATAGAAACCGCATTGTTTTGTCATCCATAAGCATACTGCGGTGTGCTGTGGGCAAGCTATTGATGAACTAAGAATCTATATTTAAAATAATGGTTTGCAACACTGCTATTCCTTGATAACAAGGATAGTATTTTCTTACCAAATATACAATTTTTTAAGGATGGAAGCAGTAAGACTGACTTACCTTAATAAGCCGTTAATTTCCACTAATGTAAACAAAACCCTGAAATGACATAAAAACTCCAATGTCCAAACAATGAGTTCTGTCTGCCTGTTTAAAGGGGAATAGACAATGAACACTGGACATAATGCAATAACCCAAGGCATTGTTACTGTTATGAGAACTACGCATTCTCTATATTTTTGTCGATGCACATCTTTCAGGAAAAGCAGAGTTAACACTGCTTGACAATACCCAGTGACACTGTACACCTGTCAAGATGACGTGTGTCTGTTTCTTTTCAGTTTAGGAAGCATTGTTCGTTGCCATTATCCTAACACTGGAAGTATCTTCAAATACTGTGGAGTATGTATTGAAATGCATTTGAATTTTTTACAGATTTCAAGCAATAGCTAGACTTTACACCTAGACCTATGAAATACGACTGTTTTCGGCGAGCTACGTGAAGAATGCAGCGATTTTTATCCAGCTTTGTTACAAAAGCTTTGGCAAGCTACCGCGAACTGCCTCAAAGCTTCCTGCCAGCCTCCGAAGTGCTAAGCACCAACTAAGAGCACCGAGTAGCAGCGTGGGGAAGGAGGAATACGTACAAGCAATGCTTTGCCTCTGCGGCTGCAGTGGATGGAGCACGTTAGTTTGGTTCTGGCTGCCGGACACCGCTGCTCCGTCACGTCTCCCATCCAAACCCGTCAAACAAGCCACGGCCG